ATGCAAACATCCCTCAGTACAACGTTAGTGGGAAAAAGAGAAAGGGAAAACAATTGTATTGGGTCTAAAAACTGTGCACAACCTAAAAGTCTTGTATCAACAATCTTGTGTGGCGGTTTTTATAATGCTAACATTCAAACACGCACTGCTGCCACTTGCGACCTCTGCCTTCACTCTGGGTGGGGTGTTTTATGATATAATCCAGGACACCGTGGAATGAAAGAACCGCACTAACAGCAATTTATACACAGGAAGTGGCTACTTTTGGGCATCGTGTAGCCCTGCTCGCGCCACACAGATCTCACACCGGTGACCTGTCCCACATCTGGAAGCTATTCTGCTCGTGTTCGACTTGACCTGGCTGCACTGTGTAAACGCCAAACTTTTTTCTCTCTCCCCCCTGACTTTTTCTGTATGCGTTTGTTGTCGGGGCTGCGGTGACCCTGACACGGGAGGTAGTTGGGAAATGATGTGTAATTAGTCGCCAGGAACACGACTCCTTTTGGCTTTAAACAGGTCCTCAAATCACAGGCGTCTGAGCTGGATTGACAAGAGGCGGGTAAAGAACTAAATGGCCGGTGATTAAAAGACCTTTTTCGCTTGTTTTTGATACTCCATGTGATACTCTATCTAATAATCGGCAATCAGTTTTCATTCAGTAGGATTTGTTGCCAGGTTGGCATTAGTCATGCTTTGAATTGTCTGACAACCCTTATCAAGATCAAAAGTTGCGAATTGAACCGAACAAAAGTAAGACGTGAAGCTAGAATCAAAGTGAAGGTAAGAATAAACAAAACATTTCTCGAAAGAACTCGCAGCGGGAAAACATCAAAGGGATCAGAAGCAAGTAAACAAAAACACTGGTTAAAAAAAAAGTTGCAATGTTGCTAAAAAATCCGGGATGGGACTGCATAATCCCTGTCGAAGTGTGGGATACTTGGGAAACGTCATGTCCAATAAATGCATGATTGTGCACCTATTCAAGACCTTCAACCTGATATTTCTCCAGTTGTGCCAATCTTTCATACTTGCTCAAGCATTAAAGTGGCGCACCGTGAAGGGTCAACGTCACAATGTTTCAAATGGGTTTTTACCAATATAGCAGATCAAATCACAATACGTCATCTTTATAGGAACTTTATAACTTTTCTATTTTCCCATTTAAAAACCTGTACCCTGACATGTTTTCCAGGACTGAACGTATCGCGGGCCGTATTTTCCTTCTTGGGGATGGCGTGCGTGCGTGGGAACTCTGATCTTTTCATGTGGCTGACGGAGGAGCAGACAGCGGTGATGCAATGTTTGATTCCTACGCGGCGCTCGGGGTAGGCAGGCGGGGACTATACGCGCAAAATATTAAGCAGCGTCGTGTCTGCCTATCAAGCTCGGCCAAATTAACCCATTAGTATGCTGCGGGGAGCTGGCGCGGCTAGATCAATGCATGAAACGGTTTGGAAATCTCCTTTGATACACCATTTCCCAGCTTGAGCGACTTGATGAAATAACTCTTGAAACAGTGGCAACCCAATTTCACATGCCAGACTTTTCACAAGATCGACTTTAGACATGTTAAGACTTTGTTTTAAGGTGTTGTAATAAAGACTGCTCAAAACCGTTGCTCATGTTTGATATCTGTAGAGATTCAGTTTCTGTATATTTTAAAGATCTCGAATGGAAGTTATGACCACACAAAGTTGAGGCTCACTTTGTGTATTTCGAGAGGGCATTTTGTCCTGTGCATTTGACCCATCCTGCAATGCCACTAGAACATTAGCACTCAGGGACTCCAGTTGGCCAGGGCTGCAGGAGCTGAAGGATTGTACCTATGGGGTATGTCATTGGGTGGTGGGGGAATCCGGAGCACTCGGAGGAAACCCACCCAGGCACGGGGATGGAATTATGCAGTGGAAAGTATTTGTAAATTGTACACCAGTCAAGAGGCAGTATGCAATAGATATATTGACCAAAGTGTTCAATTTAATATCCTGAAAGTTTCAGATCCAAATTGTAATCTCTTCTTTTATATCATCAATGCCATTTAAACACTGTTGTTTTTAAAGTTAATCACACATGTCTGAGTGACTTTTATTCTCCTGAAGCAGAGACATCATTTCTCCTTTCTCGCGCCTTTGTACTTTGTTCTTGAGAACAAAAGTTTTACTCACTTTGTTCTCCAATTCTCTTTTCTAAATTTGTGATGATTTGGCAGCCCAGACGTTTTTTCCATTTTTTAATATTGTGTACTTCAATTTAATCAAATCAAGGTCTTGTCCAACTTTTATACATCAGACAATAAGTATGATCTATTATTTTTTTAATTTGACTGCTGTTTGTTATTTTTGCAAATGATTTCTGACAACCCCATTAGACAGTCATTCATCTCATGTTTTTTAAATGTTTATATTAATATACTTCTATGTCATCGGTTATCCATGTCTAACCAAGAAGATAAAATGCTCACATTTTCAAAAGTACAAAAAAACTAGTCAATCAGTTAATATTGTTTGTGAAATGTGTGGACTAACTTAGTAGAATATAAAGGCCAAAGCGCAGTATTAGTTTCATCTGTGAAAACTGTAATTAAAATAAAATACATAAGTATTCAACCAGAACTAAATAGAAGGGGACCTTGGCTTTTCATACCCAAAGACGGATTACATTTTGATAATTTTTTCTCAGATTTCTACGAGAGCCACGAGACTCTTTTCTTCAGCACACAAGATCAAAATGTCTCTTCAATAATCTTACTTCAATTTGACATTCTACGTTTGGTGTTGTTTTTGCTCGGCTGCTCCCCCCTCCCTCCCGTCAGCCCATTCCGACTCTGCGTCTTCCTGAAATCTGAACAAATGAGCCCTCGAAAGGAGACTAATGCGCTCATAGAGGCACATTTACAAAATATTGAACGGATCTCCTTAATAAGCACTCACGCTCAAGGCCGGCCACATTTCAGCTGCGTTTGAAGAGCGCACAATGCCACCTCCTTGACAAAACATCACCGGCAGTCGCCACACAAAAAAAAACAAAAAAACGTCTAAGTTCCCCCCCAAAAAAGAAAAAAAAAAAGCAGAAAGAAACTGCAAGGACACTTCACCGGTCACCACAGGGACACACGGCTTTGAACGCCCGACAAAGACCCAGCTTTTGAGCGCTGCCAAGGCCTAAATTGTGGGACTCCCGGTTCAAAATCAAATTAACTGCAACTGACAATTCAGAAAAGTAGAGTAGAACACATACAACACACTTTTTAAGCCAAAACATGTGACCGATAAAATACAGAACATTTGACAGTGTGTCTTGTAAAGGTTATGGTCCACAAATAGTCAAATTAATTGAAATAAATCTGGTTATTTAATGTTCTTGCACTGAGCTACAATTCTTGGCAATATGGAGCTACACTTGCTAACCCTAACGCAAAAAAGTTGAAAGATTTTCATGGCTCAAAAACAGTACTGTCAAACATGATCAAGAACCTAGCAACCCATAAGAGAAAGTTTAAGTCACGCATGCTCTTATAATATCTGGTTTGTTGATCAAGCCACCATTGGTCTCAAAATTCTCATGATCAATTGTGTCCTAAAATACAAAATTGATCTTCACTCCAGACAATTAGTTGACAAATCTCAAACTGGACTTGTGCATTTTCCCCATCTTCGAATTTCTAATCACCATATTTATTTTATTCCATCACCATATCTCTTTTGACATATATTAAAACAATAGAAATACCAAGTAGTTGAGTAGTTGACCTATCTAATCATAATGAATGACAAAAACATGCAAACAAATACATAACGCCACTACATCGGAACAATTTCTTGCCCGGGTTAACGCACTCATCTAAGACAAATCAGTCCAGTCTGTTCAGTAATTTGGACTTTGTTTGAAATGCACAAAAAGGCAGCAGTGTATTCCCCGAGCAGCATCCATATCCTGGCGGCAGTGAGAGTACAAGTGGGGCTGTCCTGGATAAAAGAGCCTTCGTGCGAGCTTCTTCTTATACCAGGCAAAGTGCGGCTAATTGCCTCAGACAGTCGTTCATAAGCAGTCACCTGGGTGCTGCTATTACGAGATGAGATCCAGGCTGCCAGACAGTCGCGATGGATCTGCCGTATTTACATTATACACATCACAGAGGAGTTATTTTCCCCCGTGATAAACGTTTAAGATGAGGAGTATTAGCACTGCCAGGTTGTAAACAAACACACACAGAGTGGGAGTCCAGCGTTTTGTTGCATTGTTTAAATGCGTTGATGATGATAGCGCTCGAATGTGATTTGTGAAATTATCCCATTGTAAGACCTCTAAAAGAACTTCACGCCTGAAATACTATCAGTAGCTCAGTCCAATACGAGTCATCAGAACTACATTATAGTTATGCTACATCTTTAGTAGTACAGTGCCGGTCTTACATTTTTCTCATTTTAAATCATTTGCAGCAGTCTGGCAAAACTACATCAGTGCCATATGGACCATCAGGAACCATTAGGGACTCTCAGGGGCTCAGGGATTGGACTATTGTAAATTTCTACAGTGTGAGATCAATAAAGTCTATCTTGTCTCATCTTATATTGTCTCGCTGGGACTCAGAGGAGCTCCAAAACTCCTGCTGATGCCCAGAGTCAGGACTAGAAATGAGTCAGTTTCTGATTAATGCAGCTAAAATCTGGAACTCTGGTCTACCTGAAAATGGGAGACCGGTTTCTGCTCCCAATGTTAAAATCCAGGTTTAAATCCATTCTTTCTAGCTGCACATACAACTGAATTTTGTATTCTTTAAAAAAACAGCACTGTTAATCATATATTTACCTTGTGTATTAATTGCGCTTTAGTTTCTATAAATATATCTAAAAGGAATATCCAGCTTTAAGTATTGGTATAAAATCAAAAGACAATGCCATGTCTAAACAAAATTAAGGATACAGAATAATTAAAAGCCAACAAAGCCAAACAGAAAAAGCAATACAAAAAGGTGAAAGCTCTGCGACTCCAGCTCCTACCTGTGCTGCTCCACGGCTTCGTTGTCGGGGAGTTCGGCGCCGCACACGTTGCATCTCTCGTGCTGGTTGCGGGCCTCCTGCTTCATGCCCACGGCTAGCTTGCTGAAGAACTCGCGCTGGATGAAGCTGGGCGGCAGCAGTCCTCCGTAGGCTCCGAAGTCCATGGACATGGCGAGCGCCGGCGAAATGGGCAGCGCGGAGGCCATGGACACGGGCATGGACATGACCGCATCAGCTTTGTGATTGGCACCGGGCAGAGAGTAGAACTGAGCCAAGTGCTTCTCCGTCATCCCCGCCATCGCCTCCAGCCCCATCTGGAATGTCACAATGATCGTATGGTGATAACACTACTATGAACGAATGACAATAATGATAATAATGAAACCTTTAAATTTAATTATGACATGTGGTACCATTAAAAGTACAGTTCTGACAGATTCTTCTAAAACTAAAATCTAGACTCGCATTAATAAGTACATGGTTCGTATAGTAGATTTAGAAATGTAGAAATATGTGTTTAATGATGCGTTTGACAAGCCTTCAACAAATACGATAAAAGATCATAGAAATTCATGAATGATTCTATTTTGCTAAACGTTCCAATTTGAATGCTGCAGCAGAACATACGGTTAAACCTCTTTATTGTATATTCTTCATCTGGTTCATGGTTATGTCTCCAACTTTTGGGGGTAGACAGACGAAACAAAGGCTTGTACAAAATCTGGTTCGACTGAGCAGTTTGAATACAGTACAAAACCTTTTAACAAAATTATACTCGGCTGGCTCCAAACGCAACAGCACTGTGAGCTCACCATTCGCAGCAGTAGTTTCTTAAATAAAATGTTAAATATAAAATGGAGAATAAATTAAAATCTTAACATATCTTAGGAAATGTGTTAAAAACGTATTCAAAAACCCAGAGAACGTAGTCAATAGCAGTGGGGTGTGACTAACCTCCACTGGCTGGTCAGGCATCCCATCCACATGAACGTAGTGGAGCTCCCTGGCGCTGGTGATGACGCTGCTCCGGGTCGGCGTGCCCGGGCCGTCTCTGTTCCGCTCGTCTCCGTTGGTGATGTCGGTGTGGCGCGGGCTGCTGTGACCGTTGCCGCCCACGTCCACCTGCATCATCTCCGTCTTGACGTCCGGCAAGAAGTGATGCGCGTTGCTGGTGGCGTGGAGGATCTGCTCGGAGGTGAAGCCCTGCTGGAGGAGGGACTGGCCGATGCTCATGAGGCTGTCCACCGCCGCTTTGGTCGGACTGAGAGCCGACATGCCAAATGACGTGGACACAGACGGGCTCTGCGCCACCTGGCCGGACGTGGCTGATGCCTGCTGAAAGTGGCCCTCCGCAAAAGCCTGTCAAACACACGTATGAAATAGAGGAGATTATCTAAGAAAAGATTGTATGGATATTCAATTCAATATCAATTCTTTTTATTTTTGTATAGCCCTAAATCACAACAGTAGTTTCCCGGAGGACTTTAAAAAACCATTGAATCCGCCAACACAGATCAGAAAATCAAACAGTTCAAGAAATGCAATGCTGAAAATAACACATAAAACCATTGGTCCATAAGGGGCAGATGACCAATGTACCAATGTCGAGTGTCCTGGATCATTACCATTGATTGATATTCATGAACACAGTTGTGCTCATAAATGTACAATCTTTGACAGACTGTCTGCTTTTATGCACATGTTTTTAACCCTAACCCTAACCACTGACCATGAGTGGGGAAACAAGATATTCATAGTATCAAAAGAATTGGTAAATTATTCCAGGGTATTTAGACATATGAGAACAACTGTACCTGACACAATAGACTTTAATCAGCAGCATTTATCTCAAATGTCTCTGGGCTGTTTACATGAAACCATTCTGCTAGTTTCATGCCAAAACAAATATAGCTGGATCACACAGTTTAGAGTAGGTGTTGGCATCTTTAAAATAATGCTAATCAAATGTGTTAATCTCCGCAGAGAAATTATTAGCTGTCTTTTTCACAAGACGGCTAATAATATGTCAACATTTCTCAGATTCAGTCAGTTGCAGAGAAGTCACACTGCTGATGGTACGAAAGTAAACATTTGAATGTACTTTATGTTCAAAAAAAGGGGCAAACTTAGGTTGTAAATGTGCTCTATAAATAAAATAAATAAAAAGCCCTGCTCCACTGCTTCGTTGCAGAAAGTTTTGAGAGCACCATTAAAGTTCTGTCAAGGCTGAGATCAAACACACTGCTTCATATCATGTGTTTTAGCCGCTTTAGGATCTCTTCTGTCTATGTTTAAACTGCATCTATTCAATGAATCTTATCCAAGCCCAAAACATATGTAGTTGGTATTTGATAAGAATAGCAGTATCCAATCAGGAACCTACCTCGGCGAGATGTCTGCGCGTGTTCCTGTGGCCCTTGCGCTCCTCGTCTTCCTCCGTGCTGGCATCGTTAACGCTGGCCTCTGCATCGTTCTCGTCCGATGACTGGATGGTCTCGAGGATCTTGAGGCATTGCTCCTCCAGGTACTCAATCTCCAGAATCTCTGCGGCGTACAGCAGGTCATCCAGGTCCTCCACCTTGGCCTGGAGCGTGGCCGTGTAGGCGTACTCGAGGATCTGCTGGAAGGTCTTTGGCGACAGGAAGTCCAGGGTGTAGTGCTGGCTGCTGCGGTGGAAGAGGATCTCGAACATCTTGCTGGTGCACGCCAGGACGGTGCGGTGGGCGTGGAACTCCTGTGTGTCCACCGTGATGACCACGTCGCACAGCGTACCCGCCAGACGCATCTGGTTGGCCTTGTGCAGCAGGGCGGTGGGGTGGTTGGCGTTCTGGAGCTGGATGGTGCCCATTTTAGTTAAGTCCATGGCGCTGTAGGGGTGTCTGTGGTGGGAGCGCTCTGCTAGGCCCACTCATGAGGCTGGGCTTTGCTCCCGCTCAGCAGTGCTTCTTGCTAACGGTGTAAACAAGACACAAGACCTGCGGAGAGGCAGAGAGACGCACTGGTGAATTCTGATGTACGCTCAAACAACTGGAACAATAAAGCAGTTCAGGCTCTACACTTTTGAGTCTGCTCAGCAAGCCAATTCTTAAAGTTTCTCTATTTGAAAACACAACCTTATCTATTCTTTCCCGCTGTGCAGCCATTGTTTTTTTAATACAGCTATAAAGGACTAGCCAATGGAAGTATAAAGTGTTTAATTACACATTTCTTTCTCCATTTTAACCAAGTTCAAGTATGTTGTATTGAAAAATCAAAGACTTAAGACTATATTATACAAGTCTATACTGATGACTATAAACTCCAAGCAATGAAACTGAATACATTGTATAGCAGCTAGTAATCATTTAGTCATTCGTCATGCATTTGTATACACATTTTAACTAATAAAAAGGAAGAATAAGAATCATATGGAAATGAAAATACATGAATTTTGAGGGTGTGGATCTTTCAGACATACACAGCAATACAAATGGTTTTAACTTGGTTTTAAACATGTCATAGTGGAGGCCTGTCACATATTTTCAGGAAGACTGTTATTGCTGACCATGTTTTACCCAAATCACGGGACATGACGGAACAGAAGAGCAGCAGATGAAGTTGAGAATTGTTAGACAAGAACATTTGGCATCTACATTGGTGGAGTGAATTTGGCTACAATACATGTACAATCCGGCCATCTCAAGGTTAAGCCTGCGAGTTTTCAAATCAGACACACACAGACGCTCACGCACACGCCACGAGAATGGTAAACAGGCGGGTGCATTGTTCTTTTAAAATGAGCGCAGGCATTGACTGTAGACTGGGCGAAAGAGGGGAAGACAATTTGTGTAACGTCCGCGCGCTGTTCGGCGTGCATACCAATCGGGTTACGGCGAAAACAACAACAACACGATTTAAATAAATATACATTCTTAAGTCTTCATTGTCGCTTCAACAAATCGGAGAGAGAGACTTTTTTCCCCCTGGAGAGTAGTGTAGTTGTCTGTTGCACAAAGAGGCATCGGCAGCCTCTGAAATTAAATAGCGTCGCACTCAGTATTCCTATCACAGAGAGAAGAGGAGAGAGAGTGGACAGGGATGGGAGGGAGATAGAAGAAACAGAAAGCAGACAGTATTCCGATGTTAAGTAATGTATATAATGTATTACAAATGATACAATTGGTAACAGTGAAGCTTGGACATGACGCATTGTCATTAAAACACCAGGCTGGTTGTTTATAAAGGGATATTATTGGGAAATGCAACTTGTGCGTGATGCCATTCAAAAAATGTTGATGTAGAATAAGACTGTGATGATTTCATGAAAACATTTTAAAATCAGATAAGTGACTCAAAGTAGAGCTACATTTTAAAATACAGAAAGGTCTGTGTATCTGTAACTATGATGTAGTGCATAACAACAGGTCGTATTATTTAAAAGTTATTCAAGCAGGAGGTTGCTTGAAGACATTACGAATACAGTAGAATGAAATACATTTTAAGTGCTAACATGGGCACAAGTTAATTAAAAATAAAGATTTAGATCTATTTTTAAGTCTAAGTTAACAGTGGATTCAAGCGGTCTTCCCCGTTATATTCCTGCTCAAAAGTTGACTTGTAAGATTTAAGCACACCATCCTGAATTCCCAGAAGGCTTGGACTGTCTCGTACACGTTCTGAGGCAATTGCATTAATAAATATCCTTAGGAAGCTCCACCTGTAATTATTCTGTTGCTCAGTGCTACAAAAAAGTAAAATGGAACGTGTTTGTCAAAACAAACATTTCACTTGTATTTGGGCTTGTTCACACTAAAGGGCACAAAAGTGTGACAAAAGGCCAAAAATTTATTTTAATAATCAGAAGATATTTTATGTTTTTCATGTTTCCAAGCACCTCCTCTGTTCATTAGAAGTTGCTAGAACATAACTGTTTTATACATTAGACAAGTTTCCTGTAGCAGCCCTGTTTATTTTATGTAACGGACGATGATTTGACGGAATGAGCTTTGTGGAAGTTTGATGGTATTTTCAGATGTCCACATTTCATTCAGAGATTCTATTTTTTTACACAAAGTAGATGCAAAGTGATACTTTCATATTGTCAACCAATTAAATGTGAAAACAGACCAGATTTTTGTTTTCCTCAAGTTTAATTTTTAGAGAAAAGAGGACCGTCCTCATCACGTCCGTTATACATTTTTCAGGGGTCATTTAATTCATTAATTAATTTTTATTTTTTTACGATTCCTTTTTATATCAAGTGATTCCCTTCTGTTGTGTTAACCATGTAAACCTTGTGGGGATTTCATCTTCTGCTTTTTCAGACTGAGGACATTTTATTTCCTATGTAACTGGCGTCACAGTAGAATGGTCCAATCAGAGGCTCATTTAGTCGTTTAAAATGTTGCTAAACATTTTTATGTCAATCTTTCCTTTTGATTGTTTCCACACTATCTCTTCAATGTGTCTGTGTTTGAAATCTTTCTTCCAATCTATGAAAGTAATTTTAGTTTTTAAGTTATAACCTTTTAAAGTCCAGATACTTCAATTGTCACTTTACTGTGAACACACTCATTTACATTAAAGATTCGTAGACCTAGAAATGTAGATGTTAACGTACTTGGTTGTTTGCCTTTATATCATTAAAATAAGCCCTGAATCTAATTATTTGTTACCGTCTGAAAGCACTCAATCACGGAATAGTTTTCAAATTTGCTGTCATTTCAATTATTCACTGGAGGGTTTTTTTTCCTCAAGCTTTTGGACTGTCACGGTGAACTAACAAGAGCTCCTCAGCCGGGCACTGGAGGGTTTCGAAGTTTACAAGTGTTTGCTTCATCCAGCGCCATTTCAAAACTGAGTCTGTTATTTCTTTCTGTAAAATTGTGTTGTAGAAGTTTTGAAAAAGACATCTTGATTAAATTAGATTAGATTAGATTCAACTTTATTGACATTAACAAAATGCAGTTGTATAGGATGATATTTACAACTCAGATAAATACATTTGCATATGAGAGACTGTATAAGCTGCTATTGCTAGTATGTTTTGAAGGGACATTAAAGGGACATTAAAAAGGACTGCTTCAAGTTCTCCTCATGCGTCCTGAATCCCTTGCCATGTGTGTATATATTTATTTTTAAGTTTCTATTTATTTAGAGTGTGGTGCATTGAAAACACAAAGGAGGACGGTGGCTGGGATCAGGGCTGTGGTGAAATGAGTTGATAACCGGTGTTGGTGGTGATGACAGCGAGGATAGGTTTAGAGAAAATAAGGAAGTGAGAAGAAAAAAAAGGGTCACGTTTAATGGGATTTAATTGGTTGATTAATTGATTGACTTTCAGTTTCTCTTCAAATGAATGACTGTACAACCAGGCAAACACTCAGTCAGGTAACGTTAAACATTATTTAAATACTTTCTCATCGACACAAATAAAAATCAAGCAAACTTGTGTCTGCACAGGACGATATAAGCAATTAAAATGTACTGCTCTGCTAAAAACCGGCAAGTCAAAGTTTAAACTGAACAAAATCAATATCAAATGGCGGCACACCCTCTTCTTCCAAAAACAGCCTCGTACAAAGTCAAAAACAATGTCATTAAAAGCCGTTCAACAACAGTGTGTCCATGTTTTACTTCACAACTTTAAAGGATTCTTTGCAGCTGTCACACACTGCATCGATACTCGTACAGAACTGACTGAATCTGCCCAACGGTAACAAACATATGCTCAAGTCAAAGAAACACGTCGTAAATATTAGCCAAAAAGTAGAATTGTTTTTTTATCTTTTGTATAAAACTTCCAGATACACATTTGAGGACAAGTGGTTTTTACTTGCTTTGCGACACTGACACATCACGGATAACTCCTGCAAGCTAGTTGAGGACTATAAACTCCAAGCAATGAAACTGAATACATTTTATAGCAGCTAATAATCATTTAGTCATTCGTCATGTGAGGCAATTCTATTTGTATACATATTTTAACTATTAAAGAGGAAGAAGTAGAATCATATATGAAAATACATGAATTTTGAGGGTGTGGATCTTTCAGACAATACCCAAAAAAAACAACAATTGTAAACCGCTTTGTGACTCTGGTCTGTGAAAGGCGGTGTATAAATAAAGATTACTTTTAATCTTTATTAAAATTTAGGAAGTACGACCACATTAGTCCAGTCCTCAGGTCTCTGCACTGACTTCCTGTGGCTCAGAGAATAGACTTTAAAACAGCTCTGCTTGTTACAAGTCTCTCCATGGCCTCGCACCAAAATATATTAGTGACATGTTAGTCCCATATGAACCAGCCCGGACTCTGAGGAGCACAGGGACTGGACTCTGAGGAGCACAGGGACTGGACTCCTGCTGGGACTCTGAGGAGCACAGGGACTGGACTCCTGCTGGGACTCTGAGGAGCACAGGGACTGGACTCCTGCTGGGACTCTGAGGAGCACAGGGACTGGACTCCTGCTGGGACTCTGAGGAGCACAGGGACTGGACTCCTGCTGGGACTCTGAGGAGCACAGGGACTGGACTCCTGCTGGGACTCTGAGAAGCACAGGGACTGGACTCCTGCTGGGACTCTGAGGAGCACAGGGACTGGACTCCTGTTAGTGCCCAGAGTCAGAACTAAACATGGGGAGGCTGCTTTTCGGATTCATGCTGCTAAAATCTGGAACAATCTTCCTGAATATGTGAGACAGGCCTCCTCTCTGACAATGTTTAAAACCAGGTTAAAGACAGTTCTGTTTAGCTGTGCTACAACTGAGGGATTTTATATTTGTATCTTTCTTTTTAATGTTCTGTGATTATTTATGATTTTAATGCTTTCTTGTTTTGTTCAGCACTTTGAATTGCCTTGTGTATGAATTGTGCTATATAAATAAACTTGCCTTGCCTTGCCTTGCCTTTAAACACGTAATAGTGGAGGCCCGTCTCATATTTTCAAGAAGACTGTTATTGCTGACCATGTTTTACCCAAATCACGGGACATGACGGAACAGAAGAGCAGCAGATAGCGTTAAGAATTGTTAGACAAGAACATTTGGCATCTACAACAAACAAACATATGTTCAAGTCAAAGAAACACGTCGGAAATATTAGCCAAAAAAGTAGAATTGTTTTTTTAATGCGTTTATCTTTTGTATAAAACTTACAGATGCAAATTTGATGACTTGCTTTGCGACACTGACAGATCACAGCTAACTCCTGCCAGTTCATTCAATAATTGACGAGAAATTTCCATTTGACAATTTGGAAAACTATTGAGAGACACGAAAATTTACTGAGGTCAACCAGACACCAGATTTAAAACAAAAGAAATTATCTTCTTATTTTGAAGTACCGGTTCATTTTCTGGAATTATTGTGGGGAATTGCGCAGATATTTCACATATGAATGATTCCGAAAACCAAGAATACATTTTTGACATTCAAGACATTATTTGGTTTATATCTGTTGCATTGATACATATAGTCTGGATATCAATATTGGCAAACACAAAAAAATACTAAAAAGATATATTGTCCACCCTCTAATCCATTTGGTTAAAAAGTTACTTTTAGCATGATGTAAAATCCAGCAAAAAAGCATTCAAGCCCCGTTCACGTTCCCACACTAAGAAAACATTACTAAAGACGTGTGAACTTCTACTCTTGAACAGCACAATATTTGTTTAAACATATAGATTGCTTGAGTTGTGATTGTGCGTTTTCTTGACGTTGGAATATTTTACATCTGTATCATTTGCATTCACTCACTGCGCATTTAAACTTAAAAAAACAAGAAAAGTGACCTTTACAAATCTCTTGGAACCTTGACTTTTTACATTTACAAGGTCGTTGCTATGTCCATCTAAAACATAGGTGTCAAAGTCAAGGCCCAGGGGCCAGATGCGGCCCGCACGACAATTTTTAGTGGCCCCTAACAATTGTATTATTAACTTAAGGGCGATGGCAATGGGCGACAGAGGAAGGTCATACATCATTTATTTTCTCAAGACAACAACCAAATTTAATATATTCTAACATTTTAATCCAATAACACATTATTAGAAGCTAAATAGCTCAATATAAAATGTGTTTAACTTTATATTTGATCCAGTTTTGGTTAAATCAAAACAATAAACACATTTTGTTTTCAGAAAAATCAACAAGAAAATAACAGTGAAACTCACAAAGTCACATTAGAATACCTTCATAATGTAAAAAACTATTACTACGAAATCTCTTTTGTTGTTTCGGCCCCAACCAGTTTCTTTTTTTTTATTCGGCCCCTGACCAAAATGAGTTTGACACCCTTGATCTAAAACATGGCAAGGCAAGGCAAGTTTATTTATATAGCACAATTCATACACAAGGCAATTCAAAGTGCTGAACAAAACAAGAAAGCATTAAAATCATAAATTATCACAGAACATTAAAAAGAAAGATAAAAATATAAAATCCCTCAGTTGTATGCACAGTTAAACAGAACCGTCTTTAACCTGGTTTTAAACATTGTCAGAGAGGAGGCCTGTCTCACATCACGACTGTTGTTTGCCAAACTTCAACTGCATCGACGAATCTGAGATAAAACTCATCCAGTCTCAATTGTTTTACTTTCACACAATAAATTACTCAAAACAGTGCACACCGGGGTAGTCTTGCAGAGTTTTTCCTATGTGGTTTTACTGCAAATGGCAAATAAATGAATCTGAATCTGAATCTAATACTTCAGGTCAGTCTCCTTTTGTTGTTGATTCAAATATTTACATCATAGTATGAGTCTGTGCCATGTTCTAGCAGATTTTTTTGTTTAGATAATGACGTAATTAAAAGTAATGACGAAGGCTGGACACATGCGATCTAGTCGAATGGATGCAATGTTCTTTGGTCAAATATGAAAATAAAAATAAAATAAAAAATATTAAATGAATTAACTTGCATGACATTATCACCATGAAAGAGTTGAAAAAAACAATTTGACCAAGTTGTGATAAAAACAATTCAAAAGATTAAAGCTAAATTTAGAACTAGAAACATTTTTTGTTTGTTTCTCGTACTACGCAATACTGCAATTTTCTTGTGAAATTAGAAAAAAACTTTTTCTCGGGCACTTATAAATCTTGCATTCGGATCGTCAAAGTATCACATCAGGTTATACCTCTTCATTCCAGCCCTTGCTCGTTCATGTATTCATTATCATTTATGACAGTGTTTGCCCAGTGCTGCTAAGAGTATCGGCTAAAATATGAGTGCACTTGATAATGCTACACAACTAACTTTTCAACACACATTTTGAAGAATATAAAATCCCATTTTAAAATACGTTTTGAGAATGAACTAAATCTGAATTACGTCATGTTTAACTGCAATCCACATTAGCCACTTCATATCCATTTAGAGAAAGCTATAGCGCCTTTGAGGGTCTGTATTGAAAAGGAGAAAAAAGCTGTGATGGCTCAATTATAAATAGCCTTTAGAATTCTGCTCAAAATGTAACTCAATTAGAGTCACACCTTTGCAATTACTTTTCCACCTTGCTTTTTCCACTGGCTCATAGTATACATTCACAACAAATGAAATGCCTGGGGAAAGACAACAGTCCTCTCTGCAATGTTCAACTTTTCATTCATCCATGCAAGGCTGCCAATGCTTGATATCTACCACATCTAGACGTTTATATCCAAGACTGTATATATGTAATTACTCTGAGACATTTCACAGATTTACAAAGCAACATTTATTCCACTCTCTCCCTTTGCATTTACAATCACACCAGAGGTCATTGGTCTGAAAGACATCCACGCATCTGCCGTCTGCCAACTCGATAACTACATCTTGATACATTTACGCGCAAAAAAAACAAAGACACAACACAACACGACTGCAGGAATACTATCCATTCGCAAAAACGAGCGACAAAACAAGTCGGAGCCGCAATTTGGCTCCTTTTTGGCGCTTTGAGAGCAAGAGTCGCTTTTGTCTGTTTGAAGGTTGCATTTTGGGGGACACTTTAGCTCAGCACGCCATGCACACTGTACGTCACATACATTGACAGGGAAGAAATCGACGCGTAAACGTGAAGTCGGCAGAGGTCAAGCCTAAAAAAAACGTTTATCGCTAGTGCCAAATTCAACAGCGCAGGATGGATGGATAGATAAGATGCTTGTTGCGCACGGTGCGTGAGGAGGGGGGGGGAAGTTGCAACTGTTTCGTGCGCTTTGCCTGCGTATGTATCCTGGGATCCAAATCGTGGGACGTCTAGACAGCGACGCAGACAAATTAATAGCAAACGCGCACGTTGTTCGCTATGATACAAGCGTGAGGAGTGGATCAGTGAGAGGGGGCAGACATCGTAGGCTTGCATGCGTGCTCCATAATGGCACAGCGGAGCGAATCAAGCAGCCACAACAAGCATAAACAGCGTTCAATATTCCAGACGCGACTCGGGTCTTGCACAGCGGCAGGCAGACAGACGTGCGTGCGCGGAGCAAATATTATCCAAAAGTCTAGATATAAAAAATAAATAAAAATAAAGGTGAGGGAGAAAAACGCGCAATGCTGACGCGACGCACAGACGCACACAGGTGGACTTTTCTCCCCCATTCTTGTATGTTTAGAAGCGTGTCAACCCGCAGACAAGAGGCATGTACAGTATGGCATACAGTCAGGGCGCGCTAGACCGAATAACCTCGACTGTATACGTGATGTCTGTGGCTGTCACGCTGTATACACAATACACGGAATGATGCACGCTCTGGCAATTACGTGCGTATACCACCATGTCCCCCGGTCGTCGTAATGCATACTAATAACCCAGACATGCACGTCAAACTTAGCGTCAAAACAAATAAATGCATACTAACACTTGTTCACCCGCGCACACGCTGCCGCTCCACTCAGAAGACCGCAACTTGGGGAACGGGAAAATGAATGAATATAATCATAGAAAAAGTTCCCAGCGTGGAGAGAAGGTTGCACAGGGACACGCACGCCATGCATACGGTGAATGAAAGAGAGAGCCACTTGTATAGTATGGAGCGTGTATCAATAGACGTACTTACCCACGGGTAGTTGCGGGAGTTTTGGGGTAGGGAGGGGGGGGGTATCCGTTCCCGTTTGTTTGTGAGTGGGTGGGTTGTGGTGATGGAGAGAGTGAGGGGTGGTGGCGGGGGGGGGGGTGGTTGGGGTCCACGCAGAAGGGCACGAGTTCCCGGTATTCTGGAACGCGTGAGAGGCAGTTCTCAATGCCCGCTCGCTCTCTCTCTCACACACACACGCACGCACGCACTGAACTGGCGATCGCTTCGGTGTCGGGGCTCCTGGGCGAATCAACGCGGAGCTGACGTCAACGTGCAGTGGAGCCTGGAGGGGTGGAAGGGCAGCCGGCTCTGTCTCTGTCTGTGCGTGTGTATGAGTGTGTTTGTATGTGTGTGTGCGCGCGTGTGTATGGGTGCAAAGGCTGACAAAGTGAGCCACCTACAGGGGGTTAGATGTGTGTGTGAGTGTGAGCATGTGTGTGTGTGTTGACGGAGGCTGAGGTGGACACGCCCCCTCTGTCTGTGCTGTCTGATACTGTACCGCTCTACTGTACGAGGGGTCATGTGGGGATTCCATAGTACTGCGAGCAACTCTACAGCAATGCATGACAAAGATGGAGAGGAGAGAGGGAGACTATGGAAATAGAGTGACATTTGTGTTGTGTACTGGTTAATGCACCTGGTTTTATGATTGTTATCCCATATAATGTATTCAAGTTAAAACCTCACGTTTGGTTTTAATAAACAAATGATGCTGATGATGATTTTTCTTTAATATAAAAATCAGCCGACATGTTTTCATCTCATTCGCAAAGGATATCTCTTTTTCATTTTTCTGACTGGAAACTCTAATGCTGCGACAGAGGGAGGAATATTGTTGAAATATGAGCGAGGATTTTATAACTTTCCATTTGCCCATTTTGGTTTGCAAATTAGGTACCCCAGCATTTATAAGATTCAGTAGCAGCCTATAGGTCCATTTGCTCCGGTCTTACTATTTAAAAAGAACCCTATTAAAAGACACTTACACAACTTTTCATATAAGGAAATTTAGTATTTCTGATTCCTGATCAAGTTCAGTTAAAATAATGTATATACAATTACTGACATTGTTAAGATAAGATAAGATAAACCTTTATTAGTCTCACAGTGGAGAAATTTCAGTGTCATCGTTGCACATTACAGCAGAGAAAGGAAATAAGAGCACTCAGATTCACATTAAAGTCTATTATTTAAGATAATAGACAATAAATTTAAGATAAAATAAATAAAATAAGAAAATCTGGGCTACAATTGCACTTGGTTCGGAGTATTTACAGATGTCTATATTATACATTAGCAGCGGAGAATATGAGCAGAATAAACATCAGAAATAATATCAACAGGTAAGGTGACTTGAATGGGAGAATTATCAGATGGATATGAATAATACAGTAAGATATCAACAGGTAAAGTGACGGTGGAAGGCAGAATTATCATGTTCTTGCTTCAATCAGAAATATGAGGCTCTAATGAATATTGCAGCCTTATTCATTAAATCTTTGAAATGGTCATAGAACACTATAAACAAGATTCTAGTTCAGCCTCTGCAGCAGTAATAACAGGTTCCTTTAAAGAACAGGAGAATAAACAGCCATGAATAAACAATTACAGGATTTGATGACTGATATATTTTTAGACTGCATAACGTTTTATTTTTATGTTTATCTAGACTACAATAAAGAAAAACAAAGACTCTTATTATTCATGTATTGTAAAAAGGGCCTCCTCCTGCTCGTTTACATTGAAATGGCGTTTCACCTGAATTAAATTAAATGTATGCAATTTAATTTAGTTTAGTTATTATAAAACCAGAAAAATCATCCTCTTCTTGATATTTTCTCGGCCAATCTCCCTCTCACAACAGTGTGGGTAATATTGGTCTGGTAAGTAAGTAATCTTTTATTTATATACCGCCTTTCACAGACCAGAGTCACAAAGCGGTTTACAATTGTTATTATTTTTGGGCATTTGTCTCTCACTCCACACAGAGATGGGAGCGGGGCCAGTACAGGAGGCACATGCCAGAACTATTGTACATATTTTTAGTGGTAGGGGAAACCGGAGTACCCGGAGGAAACCTACGCAGACACGGGGAGAACATGCAAACTCCACTCAGAAAGGCCCTGGTCCGGCCGGGATTCGAACCCAGGACCTTCTTGCTGAGAGGCGAGAGTGCTATAGTAGGTTGTTAGTGTTGTATCTGACAGTGAGGAGACAGATGAAACAAGTGAGACCAACCTTTTTTGACTACATGGAGGAAATATCTGCCACTGCCACCCTAAAATACAGAATCAAAAATGACTTCATCAAATCCCTCATTCATTCATTTGAAATACACGACATAAATACATAAATAGTTGAAATTTATTGGAATCTTAAGAATAAAACTTTAATTATTTAACAATGAATACAGAACATGTTGACTTTTACCTTCAGATCATACACATTTGCAGCATGTGTTAATATAAATATGTTTACGTTTTTTGCAGGAAGTCAAACTGTGACACTGACATAGCATGTTAGCTAGCTGTACAGTAGAGGCCCAAACCACTGTCTTTCTTGTATTGACAATATACAGTTGTTCACAATGTACTCAACTCATTACAGTAAATAGATATTAATGAAACAAATAAAGCGGTGGAATAGATAATGTTGAACTTACAGAAGGCTGTAGTTTCTGTGTGAAGTGTTTTGACAGCTCTTGAGACAGTTACAGTCCATGGCAGCAGCTGGAGCCAATATCATATTAGCGTTAGCATTAGCATTAGCGTTAGCATTAGCATTAGCCTCTACACCATGTGACACTGTAAGCTGCCCATATAATACCTGTAACATCTGTTATCATACTGTTCATACACACACACACGTACATGTAGATACACACACACGTACATGTAGATACACACACACGTACATGTAGATACACACACATACACATGCACACACACACACACACACACACACACACACACATACATACATGTAGATCAGAATCAGAATCAGAATCATTTTTATTGCCAACGTAAGTAACGGGAGGTCACAGACTTGGAAATTGCTTTGGCTCAGTGCAACAGTCAAAAAGATATAATAAAAATAAGAATAAAAAACACTTCTAAAGAATAAATTTAAATTTAAAATAGAGTTACAGTTACTATTTACAATATACAAGTGCACATGGTGCACAATGTAAGGTGACAGCAGTACAGTGAAGTAAAGTGACGTATGATGGGCAGTAAAGTGACTTTATAAAGGGCGGGGGGACAGGTTAAGAAGTGTTCAAGAGTCCAACAGCAGAGGGGAAGAAACTGTTCTTGTGGCGGGAGGTTCTAGTCCTGATGGACCGCAGCCTCCTGCCTGAGGGGAGTGGTTGGAATAGTCCATGTGCAGGGTGAGAGGGGTCGGCTGTGATACGACCAGCCCGGCCTCGAGCTCGGGCTAGATACATACACATACATACACACACATACACGTTTTTGTTACCTGGTGGGTCCCTTTGACAGGGCCGTTCAGAATGGGACCCATAGACATAATCTTTTTTTACCAAGACTTTAAGTAATACAAAACAGTCAATAGAAACCAAACAACTATTTTAAAGGAATTTTATTTTAGATTTTGTTTTCGAATTGCAGTGATTCTATTTTTGACATAGAATTTAATGCCACTCCATGTCCGATGTCTAAGGTCATCTGGTGAGGCATTAATGCAGGCCAGGCAGTGAGACTTCCCAGGGACCTTTCCAGTCTGTATGAAAGGTGTCATGGTCTTCTCCACAGCCTTCACCTCAGATGCCAGACCATGGCTTTCTTACACGTTCTAGGGAGAGAAATAAAAATATATTAGCAATATACACTCCCAGGGTGAGGACCAAGCAGCCTGGCTGTAATCCCCCACCTGGTACACTTACCAGAAGGGGCACTGCCACTACCATGGGGTGCATCTGGATGAATGGTTGAAGGTTCTCCGCTTGAAGTTTCTTTTAGCCCGTCCGTTTGTGAGAGGATCTCTACTGCTCTCCCTCTCGCACAGAAAATAAAAATACAAGTGGCCTTTAGGGGAAAAAAATCATACATATTTTAATAATATCAAGAATTACCTTCAGGCTCAATTTGTATCTGGTCGAGGCTCTTTCCTTCGAATTCCGTCACTCTTCCCTGCTCCATGGCCATCAACACTTTGCTGATTTTGGCCAGCTCCAGTGTCCCCTCTGGTAGTCTGTAATATTGCCTGTGGATGCGAATGTCATGGCCGAGGAAGTTGGCAAGTATGTCCATCTCATTCTCTTTCATATTGAGAACTGTAGACATAGTAGCTATGTGCTTTCTAAGTTTGGTTGAGGATAGCATCTCTGGATGCACCGCACCACATTCTTTGGCTACCTGGCGTAGGGAGTCTGATCCCCTGATGTGGGTGTCTGCGCCCGGGCGGGAAAAGAAGTATGGGTTATGGTCAGAGATGGAACAGGCCCTTCTGTTCTCCACCAGCACCTCCATCGAAGCAATCATTTCAGGAGTCAAAAGAACCGGCACTTTCCGACTTCTTTTCCCTTTAATTTCAATGCGTTGAAAATGCTGACACAGCTTTTTCTCAAGTTGGGACAGTCCCAGAGCAATGTCAGAATGGATCCCAGTCTTACTTCTTAAGGTAAAGGCTGTCAGTGGCATCTTTGAAACCTCACCTTCCCTTCTTCGATTGAAAATGATGACCTCACAAAGAGTCAAAACTGCCAGTTTAGACCAATGCTTAGACGTTGGCTCACTTATTAGGGTTTGCACATATTCAGGTCGACATACCTCAATATGTGCATGCATGGCTCTAACGTCCTCAGTCAGAGGGAGCAGGTCCGGAGTGTTCCACTTGGCTTGCCGGAGGGTCTGTAGGGCAGCAGAAGAAACACAGACGTCCCACCTCTTCTCAAAAAGCAGCCGGCTTCGTTGGAGGTTTTTAATAAATAGTTCATCAACACAATGCTCCATTTTTGAGTCACATTCAAGAATATCTGCTAGCTTTCTGAGGCTATGGCCGAGTTTGAGGGCCAAGGATGGAGTCTTGTATTGATTTGTTTCCTCATCATATCCAGCCACAGACCTGACTGCATCAATCACATGGTTAAAGTTGGAAGGAATAAAGAAATCCTTAATTGTTTTCAGTTTCCCTGCGGTTTTTGCTTCGTTAATTAACCTACCGACTTCTCTCATTTTCTGCCTAATGTAATCATGCTTTGTCTTATCATGCCCGTGTTTTAAGTACAGGTGCTCTCCGAGTCTCAGAATCCCCTTTTCTGCTTTGACAACACCCGTGACCTCATCCTGATGCATTGCCGAAATTAAAGACCACAGCTTTTTGCTGATGCCCTCCGGTACAGGCTGGGCTAGGGAGCAGAGGGACTGGACCCTACTTCTACCTGGTTTAGCCTGGGCATCTTTCTGTGAAAGCCGGCACCTGGCCACATGCCTCCACAGCGACTTTCGCTTAAGCAATGCCCCACAGTCTATACAGTGCAAAAACTCACTGGATTTAACTGGGCAATTTGGCTGT